TATAGTACTTTCACTCTTCTCAGTTTGAAGATATAAGCACCAAAAAGAACTACAAAGAAAACTTCAATTTGATTTAACAGCTTAGTAGGTTTACTGTTTTTTTTTAAAAAAGATTTTATTTATTTATCTTTACAGGAGAAGGGAAGGAGAGAAGGAGAGAAATATCAATGTATGGTTGCCTATTGTGTGTCCCCCACTGGGAACTGGCCTGCAACCCAGGAATGTGCCCTGACTGGGAATCGAACTGTAATCCTTTGGTTCAGAGGCCTGTGCTCAATCCACTGAGCTACACCACCCAGGGCAGGTTTATTCTTAACAGCAGTGTGAGTGTAGTAATTCTGAAACGAAGTTTATGCACATTGTAGAATTGAGCAAAGAAGTAAATATATTGTTTTTCTTGAGAGCCAGGCTTCTTGTGGTAAGAGAAAGGAGCTACAAATATAAAATGGTGAAAGGCAAAGATAATATAAAATGGTTATTTTCCCCAATATGCCCACTGCAAAGACATGAGTGATAATACTTCAGTGGCAGTGGGCACACCTAGTTTCCAGATCTTGGGTTCTAACACTCCCCACTACAAAGACCCAGGGGTGCTTAGCAAAATGGCTGAGTTCAGGACTGGGGCTGGGAGAGTATGCCTAGACCGTCTTGTGCCAGAAATAGAATGTACTCAAAGAATGACAGGCAAAGTTGGCAGCCGGAAGGAACTCCCACTGCTCAAATGCAGGACAATCTGAGAATCAAAATAAGTAATGATAGTAGTGGATTATAATCCACTGAATAAAATCAGAATCCATGGATCCATATTGACAGAAGTAAATAAGTATGGGAGAAGAAAGGACCTACACAGTAAAATTTCAATGATAAATGCAGGAGGAATAATAGACTTTACAAATCACTATTTGGCAATCATTATTTGATTCAGGCATGAGCCATCAATTACGGTAAGGAACACAATATTCACATAACTTCAAGTAATCTCCCCACAGGTTAGTTATTTAATACAAAGGGGAAAATAGTAATTTTACACTAAAAAAACTTGATTTAGTGATCAAAGTTAACATCACCAATATGGGAACAAGTCAGTCTCCTGCCACCTGATAGGATCAATCAGAAGAATATGACTTCCGCCAAGATGGAGGATTAAGGTGGATGTGCCTGCCTCCTCTCACAACCAAGTTTAAGGACAACCAAATATTAGCACCAGAAAACACAACCAGAACACGGAAAACTGAACTTTTCGGAAGTCCGCAAACAACAAATCCTTCGGCCCGACCCGTAAGGGGCGAAACCGGCGGGACCCGGGCGCGGGCGCGGAACCCAGACGCGCGACTTTTCGGAAGTCCGCAAACAACAAATCCTTCGGCCCGACCCGTAAGGGGCGAAACCGGCGAAACCGGCGGGACCCGGGCGCGGGCGCGGAATCCAGACGCGCGACTTTTCGGAAGTCCGCAAACAACAAATCCTTCAGCCCGACCCGTAAGGGGCGAAACCGGCGGGACCCGGGCGCGGGCGCGGAATCCAGACGCGCGACTTTTCGGAAGTCCGCAAACAACAAATCCTTCGGCCCGACCCGTAAGGGGCGAAACCGGCGAAACCGGCGGCGGGTGAGGAGTTACAAAGGAGAACTCGATCGACCCGGGCGCGGGCGCGGAATCCAGACGCGCGAATCCAGCCGCACGGGTTCCAAACCCAGGATTGGACCTAGTGAGCAGCCCACCGGGTGAGCGACTACGGAGGAGTCAGTGGGGAGGCGGTGGCAGCGAGTTGACTGTGGGTGCCCGGTTACGCACGGGTGAGGGAGTGAGCGGGGTACCGGCTGCGGCGGCGGCGGCGGCGGCGGCGCCATTTCCCTGCTCTGACCACGCCCCCACATACAGCGTCACAACCCAGCGACCTGGGACTCCAAGGCGCCGCTTCTCTCACTTAAAGGGCCAGAACAGACCAAAAAATGTCGCAGGGGGACCTCAAAGTCCCGGAGATAAATCTAAGTGACGAAGAAATAGCAAATCTCTCAGACGCACAGTTTAAAACACTGGTCGTCAGCTTCCCTCACAGATCTGGTGGACTATAGCCACAAATTAGAGAAACATATGAAGGCTAAATTAAGGGGAAATGAATGGAATTCCACAGGAAACCCATAGAGATGAAAAAAAAAACTGGGACTCAACTCAATGGAGTGAACCAGAAGGAAGAAAAAAATGATCAATCAGAAAGGAATGAAGAAATAAGAATTCAGAAAAATGAGGAGAAGCTTAGGAACTTCCAGGACATCTATAAACGCTCCAATATCCGAATTATAGGGGTACCAGAAGGGGGAAAGACACAATCACCAGTGGAAAAACTATTTGAACAAATAATAAAAGAAAATTTCCCCAATCTGGCAAAGGAAACAGACTTCCAAGAAATCCAAGAAGCCCAGAGAGTACCAAAAAAGTTGGACTCAAGAAGAAACACACCAAGGCATATCATAATTACATTAGCCAAAATTAAAACGAAGGAGAGAATCCTGGAAGCAGCAAGAGCTAAGGGGACAATCACCTACAAAGGAGTCCCCATCAGGCTGTCAGCAGATTTCTCAAAAGAGACCTTACAGGCAAGAAGGGGCTGGAAAGAAATATTCCAAGTCATGAAAACTAAAGACCTGCAACCAAGATTGCTCTACCCAGCAAAACTTTCATTTAGAACGGAAGGACAGATAAGGTGCTTCTCAGATAAGACCAAATTCAAGGAGTTCATCATCACCAAGCCCTTATTATACGAAATGTTAAAGGGACTTATCTAAGAAAAAGAAGTTAAAGAAACATGAACAGTGAAAGGACAACAAGCTCACAGTTATTAACAACCACACCTAAAACGAAAGCAAACTAAAAGGACAGCTAGATCAGGAGTGGAAACATAGAAATGAAGATCTCAAGTAGGGTTAGCAACAGGGGAGTGGGAGGAGAAGACGGGGAGAGAAGGTACAGAAAACAAGTAGCATAGACAGTAGATAGAAAATAGATGGGGGGGCAAGAATAGTATGGGAAATACAGAACCTAAAGGACTTGAGACACATGGACATAAGCTAAAGGGGGGGTAATGGGGGGGTTGGGGGGCAGGGTGGAGGGGAATGAAGGGGGGAATAGAACAACTGTAACAGCATAAACAATTCAAAAAAAAAAATAAATTTATTTAAAAATAAAAAAAAAAAAAAAGAAGAATATCACATCACCTCTGGAATATTCCTGCCATCTATGCATAATCTGAATCTAATGAAGTATCTGACAAACCTAAATTGAGGTACATTCTACAAAATAACTGGCCCCTTTCTTCAAAATTTCAAAGGTGAGAGGACAAAATAAAGAGACAGACTGATCCAGATGAAGGAAAGCTAAAGAGGTATGACAACTAAAATGTAACAGGTAACCTTGGATTGGATCCTGGTCCTAAAATATTCTTACTTCAGAGGACAAGTAAGACAATGGGTGAAATCTGAATAATGTATGTGGGTTGGAGAAGTATTTTATCAACGTTAATTACCTGATTTTGACACATTCGCATTGTGGTTATATAAGAGAATGTCTTTGATTTTAAAAAAGGGGGGCAAGCAACACTGTCAGTTGTTGGTACAGGGAGGTGAATGGGCATCAGGGTTAGGGATGCATTATTTTGATTTTACTTTGTAGGCATGTGATAAAAGTAAAATGTTTTTTTTAAATATTCAAGTATATTATATGTTCATGGAATAGAAATAATTCAGAAACCACAGATGTCACTATTACCCCCTTTGCCCTCCTCTGTCCATTCCAACACCCCCCCACACTCCCACAGTCAGTTCCCACACTGTTGTCCATGCCTGTGGGTCATTCATACATGTTCTTTGTCTAATCCCTTTCCCTATTTTCCCTCTTTCCACTATTGCCCCTCTTTCCCCTCCCCTCTTACCACTGTAAGTCTAATCCATGTTTTCATGCTTGTGGTTGTATTTTGTTTATTAGTTTATTTTGTTCATTGGATTCTTCTTTATAGGTGAGATCATATGGTATTTGTTTTCACAGACTGCCTTATTTCATTTAGCATAGTACTCTTTAGTTGCAATAGGTAGAAATTCCTTCTTTCTTTGTGCTGCATAGTATTCCATTCTGCAAATATACCAGTTTTTTATTCACTCATTTACTGATGGGTACTTAAGTTGTTTCCAGCATTTGGCTATTGTAAATAGAGCCAGTATGAGTATAGGGGTGCATAAGTTCTTTTGAATTGGTGATTCAGGATTCTTAGGGTATAATCCCAGGAGTGGGATTACTATGACCAGTAGGGAGGGTGTAGGAGGACAATGGTGGAAAGAAGGGGAAGGCAGTAGACAAAGAACATGTATTAATGCCCCACAGACATGGAAAACAGTGTGGGAATTGAATGTGGGAGCAGGGGAGGGTGGGATGGGTAGAAGAGAGCAAAGGGAGAGTAACTGGGACAACTGTAATAGAAAAACAATAAAAATGATTTAATAAAAATTAAATAAACCTTAAATATATAAAATTTAAAAAATACCATATGATCTCACCTTTAACAGGAAGCTAAATAACAAAACAAATAAGCAAGCAAAATAAAAACAAAGACACTGAAATAGAGAACAGAGGTACAGAGACCAGAGAGGAGAGAGGAGGGAATTTCAGGGGGAAAAGGGGAAGGATTTACAGGAACTAGTATAAAGGACACATGGACAACAGCTAAGGGGGGTGGAAAGGGGAGGGAGGTGGGGGCAAGGGGTGGGGTGGGCTGGGATGTGAGTAAAAGACAGAATACTGTAGTTGAAAAATAATTAAATAAATCAATAAAAAAAGAAACCATATGTGGTTATTACAGTTTACAGCAGGCTTCTCTTTCTATTTCCAAAGTGGCTAAAGTTTTTCAAATGTTAGTGATAGAATCATCTACTCTACTAATATTAAGATTACTATATCAGCAGAGGAGAATGAAGGGAGCCATGCAAAATTAAAGAAGTTTCACCTACTTACCTTGCTCTGTATTTGAATGTACAGAACAACAGATAATGATATAGGTGCTGGGGTGAAAGAAGAAAAAAAATATTAGAAGCAGTTGTCACTGTACAGATACAATTAATAACCAATTGAACTGAGCCATTTGCATTCAGCCAAAAGTAAATGCTGACCATATGAGTTACATTCTTTCTCCTTCAAAATATGTGTGAGCACAAACATTCACAACAAAAAAGAATGAACTTAAAGAGGCAAACATGACTTAAAAGACTCTAAATTGAGGAAGACAAAGAGCTACCAAGTGTATAAATATTTGGTTAGTGCCTGGCAATGGCTTAGGAAGAATTGTGAAAGTGAGGAGAAAAAAGACTGTGTAGCCAAGACTGTAGTGATATAATTAATAAAAGCAAACTTTGGGCTGAATATGATGGGAAAATATTCTTTTAGTGATTGCTGAAACAGTCTTCCCAAGTGGGAGCAAAGGCAGAGAAACTCCCCTGGATGATGTTCAAGGGAGGAATGAGATAATGTATGTGAGAGTGCTCTGGAAACTCTGGGTTGTACTACACATGTGAGGGTTTGTTGTGGTATTATTATCCCACCCAGAGCTGGAGACTAAAGGACATTGGAGATAAGCCACAATCCAGATGAACACTCAGATAATAACTGAAGTGCTTGCTGCTCTGCTGTGGCCCTTGCCAAAGTGATTCACTTATTCACGTATCAAGCATGACAAGATACCATAAAATTATGGTATCATCAAAAATTATTTATCCCACTAGCAGCACTGAGAGTGGATATTAATTGACTTCCCAAGATGGTTATGCTTTTGGCTGAGTTGTCCCAGCTGGAAATTGAATTAATAGTATAAATTTTTTTCAGGGCTGGAACTGGGTAAAACTCAGTCATGTGCACTAATTTCTGACATCTATTAAAGTTTTTTTTGGTCTTGCCCCACATTCTCTCCACCCTAATTTATCAAGCAATCTGGAATAGCCCTGTCTCTTTGAAGATGTCAATAAGAACAGTGCCTTTTCTTCCATAACAATCTAAATTCTATCAGGCACAACATTTCTGCCTCATAGGCCAGAAAATGAAATATTATAACAAAGCAAATGTTCAAATGAATGGACATATGCGAGCATAGTTCAGGACCAATTATTGTTAAACAATTGTAATGTGATAATCAGTCTATAGAATGAAGCTTGCCTCTACATAATGAGATTCTGATACTAAAATACTCCTTGCATTTTTTTTTGATGACCAAGAAAAGAAAGTATAATACTTGGAGGATGGTGGGGGAAGGGTGAAACTGATATAATAAAAAGCCTTTGGTCTCATATATAAGTTCATATTCTGTAAGACAATTTACAGAATCCTACAGTCTTGGAGTTAGAAGGGAGTTCAGCCCTGGCTGGTGTAGCTCACTGGACTGAGTGAGAGCAGGCCTGTGAACCAAAGAGCTGCAAGTTCGATACCCAGTCAGGGCACACACCTGGGTTGCAGGCCGGGTCACTAGTAGCGGGTGTTTGAGAGGCAACCACATACTTATGTTTCTCTCCTTCTCTTTCTTTTTCTCTTACCCTCTCTCTAAAAATAAATAAATAAAATCTTTTAAAATTTTTAAAAAGGGAGTTGAAAACTCATTTTAGTCCCAGCTTCCTGTTGTCCAATTAAAAAAAATACCACTCAGCTCTACTTGTACTCTTTCAGTAACTGCCACATCAGAACTCACAAAACAACTCATTATCACTTATTTTTCTTCTCCTCAGGAACTGGTTAAAGCTTCAAACCATCAGATAATTGGAAACATATTATCATGAAACCCCAAAAGGATTCTTTAAGATAACCTAATCCTATTCCCTGATGATCCTGATGGGGAAACTGAGGCCCAGAGAAAGAATAAAATTTTCCTAAAGTAATGTAGTTGGTCAGTGACAGAGCCAGGACTAAAATTCAAGTTTTCAAATCCAGGGCCCAGTGGATTGTGTACTTTCTATAATTAAAGAGAGGGTAGGTCCAAGTTCAGGAGTGTATTGTCATGGCCCTAGTTCCTCTCTCTCTCTTTTTTCTGCATTTATAAAGCCTAATCTTGGCTTATTTTACCCTCAAAGGGTGGGCTGGGTCAGGGAGAGGTGGCCCATGGAAAGAAAGTGGTGCTGCCCACTCACTTTGGCTAATGTACATGGTGACTAACAACCTCCTAAAAGTGAAAACATCTTACTTTTTGATTCTCCCACATATGTTACTCAACAGTTCCTTTGTTTTTGAGAATATTATGATGTATTTTGGGGTACTTGAGAGATATCATAATTGTAGTCACACTGGGATAGGAAGAATGGTTATCTGGGCACTCAAAAAAAAAACTTGGCAAGAACCTTTTATTCTAGACATTCTAATGGGACTTGGTGACAAGAGGAAAGAGGAAAAACCAGAGCTGAATAAACCATCTCTTTTAACTTTAGAAAATTATAGTTTTATAAGAAAACATATGCAGTTAATTTTGTAATCCAAGACAAAATTTAGCTATCCTCATATCTCACATGAGCACATAAGAATACTCCTTCCATTTTACTGACTGGTGGTAAAATTGACTCACATCCCTCTTGTTAAGACCCCAAAGGGACAACTAATGAATGGGACTAGTTTCCAGAAAAAAAAAACAGAGAAAAAAGTGCTTATCATTTAATATCAAGCTTCAGTTCTGAGGAATAGCTACAAAAGATGTTTCCCTCTCTGCAGGAGGCATTCATGTGGGAGCAGCTCAAGAAGACATCTTAAGTAGAGTTTTTTAGCCTGGCTTGTGTTCTTTGGTAGAGAGGTATTACTTAACTCTCCTCTGGAACTAGGGCCTTTTGTTCCCCTTAAACAGCTTCTCTAAAGGAGTTCCTTCAAAGAAGGAATAATTAGTGTGAGGTAATTAGTGGATCCCTTCTCTACTGCCAAAGTTAGCATAATTGCCCAGTCTGCATCTTAAATCCAAGGAGCCACAGCAAATGAAAAAAAAAAAACATCCACCCCCCCAAAAAAACCCAGTGACCTGGGAGTAAGATAAATATGGCTTCCAGTTTTGGGCCAAACACTATCTAAACTAAACAATCTCCAGCAAATTTCATTTTCTCTGGACCTGTTTTGCCACTGGTAAAGTTAAGACAAGAACACTTGTACCTTTCCAAGCTGGCGTAAGGAGTCATTTGGGTGCTAGATTTGAAATAAACTGGTACATACTAGGACCTAATAAATAGTACGTTGCAAGTCCTGGCTGGTGTGGCTTAGTGAATTGAGCACTGGCATGCGAACAGAAGGGTTGCTGGTTCAATTCCCAGTCAGGGCACATGCCTGGGTTGTGACCCAAGTTGTTTCCCCAAAAGGGGGTGCGTGAAAAGCAACCACACATTGATGTTTCTCTCCTTCCCTTCCCCTCTCTCTAAAAATAAATAAATAAAATATTTTTAAAAAGAAATAGTATGTTACAAAAAAGAATGGTATGTTACAAAGCAATTTGTCATATTTACTCATTCTGTTCCTTTTGCAATGTTTCCCATCATTTTGAAATCATGACCATTGCCCCAATTCATATAGCTCAAAACCTCAGAGTCTTATTTGAGTTGATACCATGCCATATGATGAATAGTGGAAGAGCTAGGCTGCTTGATCTCAGAATGAAGGATGCAGGAAGATGTGGTCTATGGTCTTCAGATCTCTAAACTATGGTAAGTGGCCCCATGGAGAATTACTAGGATCTCTGGGTAAAAGCCACAGGAAGACTGTTTTCCCCTTAACAAAAGGAAGAACTTTTGAAGAGCCAAGGCTTCCCATGAAGGGAATGGATTTCAGAGATCAGTAAGTAACACTCCCACTGGGAGTGTTCAAAGCAGAGATTATCAAGGGTGTTTTTAAGGTGAAGTCAGTTAAAGTGAAAGAATATTATGATTCATGGAAGCCTACTATATGTAAGATATTGTGCTGGATACTTTACAGGGATTATTTCATTTAATTCTCCCATCAACACCATGACATGGGTACTACTCTCTCTGTTTTTCAGCACAGAAAACCAAGAATCAGAGAAGTTCAATATTTTGCACTGGGTTTACTACTGGTATAAATGGGTAGGAAAAACAGCTCTTTGTTGTATCAAATTCATTGGCACTAAATGCAGTAGTACTTCAGTATTTGTGCAAAAATCAACCATACTCTTCACACATATTTCTAAATGCCCTATGGAAGTGCAATGCTGGTTGGGCATAAGAGATAAATAATGTGTTTAGGATCACAAACAGCAAGTAAGCAGCAGACCCAGGACTTACACATAGCTGTGTCTAATTTGGAAGGTGGATATCCTTTTTATTGCACTATCCACAGAAGTGGATGAAAGTGTAATTGCAATGCACAACCTTTCAAAGTCTAAGCCAATCCCAAGAGGTTTGGATTTTTCATTCCTTCTTTTTCAGTCTCATATAATTTATCAACTTCTAAGTTCTGTAGATTAAACTGCTGTAGTGCCTTGTTACATTCACTGCTGTCTTTCTATTCCCATAGCCACCACTTCAATTCCAGGAACTTATTCTCTTTCTGCCTCTGGTTTATACATCTATCATGTTTCCCTATTTGAATGCAGTTCACTCACATTTACCAGGTTATTCTTCCTGAAATACAGATTTTACTTTTTCTTTTCAGATACTTACAATGCCTTTCCACTATATGCCAAATCAAACAGAAAGTACAGCATCCAAAATTTTCCAGTTTGCCTCAATCTAACCATGGCAATTTTAACTTCCACTTTTTTCCTCATTGTACTTTAAAATTTCATTCAGCCAGTATTCTTTTCACATGCCCTGAGCTTCCTTGCTTCCAAACAGTTGTTCCTGTTGTTTTTTTCTGCTTAGACTGCTTTCTGTCCTATCTCCACCTGTTGAAATCCTATCTGTGCTTTATGGTCCATATTAAATAATAATAATAGTTAACATTTATTGAGTGTTTATTTTGGTCCAGCCACTGTGCTAAGTGTGTACAAGTATTTTATATGGATTATCTAATTTAATCCTTACAAAAATGTGATGAAGTA